TAGTAGTAGTAGTAGTAGTAGTAGTAGTAGTAGTAGTAGTAGTAGTAGTAGTAAGTTTAAGGTTAAGGTGAAAGCTAATGATAAGGTGAAGATCAAAGTGAAGGTTAAGGTTGAGGTTACGGTGAAAGTTAAAGTGAAGGTGAAGGTGAAGGTTAAAGTTAAGCAAGATTAAGGTGAAGGTTAAAGGTAAACAAGATTAAGGTGAAGGTTAAAGTTGAGCAAGATTAAGGTGAAGGTGAAGGTTAAAGTTAAGCAAGGTTAAGGTGAAGATGAAGGTTAAAGTTAAGCAAGTTTACGGTTAAGGTTAAGGTTAAAGTGAAGGTTAAGGTTGAGAACACGAGAACGCACCTCCCCATTCCACGGAGTCTGGGATAATTTTCAGCTTTCTCTTGATGGGGCCGTTCATGAGTTGGTTCAGGTCTCCGTTGTGTAACGGTTTCACGTGGCGCGCATACAGGAGATCTGTCCAATGAGATGGATTATTTATACTGTTCTTTAAAATACCATACACCTATGTGAGAATTAGATGGGGCGCCAGCAGAAGAACAAGACTTAGTGGGAGGAGCAGAAGGCTATGGAATCAACCATTGCTTGGAACCGTCTGCATCTGCACACTTCGAGATGTGCTTCTTCAGGGGACGGGGCGCTTATGGGGATGCCCCTTGTGCAGTGATGTCGGTCCTTCACTCAGGTAACTCAAGTAATCTATGTGAGATTTCTTTTTGATGACGTGTGAATGGAGTGAAATACCATTCCTTTGTAATAAATCTTTTTATGATAACATGGAGGAATAAGAATACTAGCCTGTGTGAAATTTCTTGAGGATCATGGATGGAAGAGATAAACGGACACTATGACTATGAGAGATTTTTTTTTGTTGATAACGTATAAAGGGAACGAAATACCATTCCTATATTTTAATATATATTTTTGATGGTAACACAGACGAATAAGAATACCTTGTTGATGATTATAAATGAAAGAGATCAAAATACCATGACGGTGTGAGATTTTTTTGTTAATGATTGTGGATAGAAGAGATACAACGCCATGTTTATTTAGAGATTTCTTGTTGATGAACATGGGTGGGGGCGATAAAAAATGTCATTATCATGCCTATGTGAGATTTCGTGTTGAGAGTTATTACAGACGGAGGAGATGGGCTCTCGTGGCCTAGAGGTTAAGGTGCTCGCCTCTCATTCAAAGGTCCCGGGTTCGAATCCGGGTAGCGACGGAAAATGTTTCTTCTCTAAAGTGGTCTCCTTTCTCCTCCTATCCTGTTCTCCAACAATGTTCTGTCGTCTGCTTTCGTCTCCAATTTCTGCCCCCACCCTATCTATCACCTCCTTTGCCCCCCTCCTCTGGGCTGCTGACTCTTTCTGCAGCCTTTCTACTGCTACTCATTGGCTCTTTCTTACTGCTGTCTTTCAGCCACACCCCCGATCTTATGGTAGGAAAGATCAACACCTAGCTTTCTTGGACAGGGGTGAAAAATCTCGGAGGTGTGCAAGTTACGCACGTTAAAGATCCCTTGGTGGTCTAAAATCGATAAGAGTAGGCTTCGGCCGCCACCCGCGTAAAATTCAAAATGTCCTACTAACTGAAATTAATGTTTGGTGTGTCCCGCGCGCTCATATGACCTTATACAGTTGCGAGCACCATAAAACACTTACCAAAAAAAGGGCAAAAATATATATAAAAAAAGACGGAGGAGATAAGAAACACCAGACCTATGTCGGACTTGCTGGTGTCCTGCCGTCCCCTGGTGGCCCCACCCCAGTCCATGATGTTGTAGAATATTATGGGTGGAGGCGATAAAAAATGTCATGCCTATTTAATTTTGTCATGAGATTTCTTGATTGTTTGTTTTAGTAAGGTTTAACGGCGCTCGCAACTGCATAATGTCATATGAGTGCCAAGGGGTGGATGTCAATAGAGAAGTCCAGACGGGGAATCAGGCTTACTCTGCTCACCTCTTTAGCCTCAATAGCACAGAATCTGCTTCGACTATCAAGGCACCCCGGAAATAGTTCACAAGAGAGTGACAAACATACAAAAATAGTAGAGGGAAAATGGCGACAGTAAGGATGAGGAAAGAAAAAGCAGCAGTCCCCCCCCCCCCTATGTTGTTCCGGCACAGTATGAGCATGACATTGATAGATCAGCCCATTTGCAATTCTACTGTGCGTAAGAACATGTTAATATGCCCCCTTTGGGAATGTGCTAAAGACAACTTCAGCCAGTAGTACTGCCCGGGGAGGGGGGGTGAGATTTCTTGTTGAAGAACTTGGGTGGAGGCGATACAATATCATGCCTTTATGAGATTTCTTGTTGACAGTTATGACAGACGGAGGAGATAAGAACTAGCAGACCTATGTCAGACTTGCTGCCGTCCGGCAGTCCCATGGCGTCCCCACCCCAGTCCATGTTGTACAATATGGGTGGAGGCGATAAAAAATGTCATGTCTATTTATTATGAGATTTCTTGTTGACAGATATTACAGACAGCATCCTTGCAGGAAAGAACAGAAGAACGTTCAACCAGATGTGCACTGGCACAATCAGTGGAATGACCCTCGGCGATATTTTGGAGAGAGCAACGGAGCATGAATGGGCATGTCCTGAGTGCAGGGATGTTGCTTTCTGAAACATGAACAATGAGCAGAGGGATGAGATAAGAAACACCAGACCTATGTCGGACTTGCTGCCGTCCTGCAGTCCCATGGTGGCCCCTCTCCAGTCCATGATGTTGTAGAAGTTGACATTTGAGGAGACCGCGCCCACCGTCACTTCGGCCGAGCTCCAGGCGTTAGTTGCTTCTCTCCACTCCCCTGAAACAAAAAGCCGCTATACTTGAATAATAATAATAATAATAATAATAATAATAATAATAATAATAATAATAATAATAATAATAATAATAATAATAACAGATAGCATTTGTTTAGCGCATATCCCCGCTCAACAGCAGGCTCAATGCGCTTTACACTATATTATTACCCCAGCAGAACATAGCACACACCGAAACATTCTCAGCTTCCCGGGAAGCATACAGTGCAAGTAGCTGATTAAGCGCTCAAACACTAACAAACTGTCAAGATCTTTCGCTGTCTATAGCCGGGTACCCATTCCCACCTGGGTGAAATGAAGTAAACTCGTGTAGAGTGCCTTTCCCAAGGACGCAACGTCGGGCCCCTGACGGGATTTGAACCCACGACCTTACGGTTGCGAGTCCCAGAGCCTAACCACTAGGCCACCGATGTGTCTGATGTGAATGTTCCTTTTGTCAGCTTTACTTCTCTTTTCATATTGAAGTTTAATGACAGTAATATATAATTTAATTAGTTTTTTTTTACAAATGTATAGATCTACCTGCATGTGTTTTTATGGTCCTGTATAGCCAAGAAAAAAGTCCCTCTGGTATAATAAAGTAATCGCTTATCTTATTTTATCTTATCTTACTTAACTCTTTCAGAACTGGGGCGTTTCCATCTATATTGCAATTATGTGTACAGATGAAATAATCAAAGATCGCTGAAGAAATATTAAAACAAATCCATAATAAATCTCTGACATTAGTAAGTAGCCTACAAATGTGCAACTTTACAGACATGCATATCATGTGATATTTATTCTTGTTGATGAATAAAATATGGGTTGATGTTTGTATGTTTGTTTGTTTGTTTTTGGGGTTGTTGGTTGTTGTTGTTGTGTATGTTTGTTTTTGTGTTGTTGTTGTTGTTTTTTTTTTGGGGGGGTGTTGACGATTATGGATAGAAGAGATGAAATACCAAACCTATGTGAGATTTCTTTTTGATGACGTATGAAGGGAATGAAATAATTAAATATCACTGAAGAGAAGAGTTTAGAACAAATCCATGACATATCTTTCACTTTCACATTAGTATGCACAAGCATGAGCGACTGCACAAATTACAATTACACTAGAACCTGCTCTAACGACCACCTGTATAAGACAATCACGTGCAACATACGACAGTAATAATAATAGATAGCATTTGTATAGCGCAATCCCCGCACAACAGCAAGCTCTATGAGCTTCACAATCTATACTATTACCCCAGCAGACCTGAGAGCATTCTGAAACAATCTCAACTTCCTGGGAAGCATACAGTGCAAGCAACCATTTATAGGCGCTAAAACACTAACATACTGACAAGATCTTTTGTTGTCTATGGCCGGGTACCAATTCCCACCTGGGTGAAGCGAGGAAAATTCGTGTAACGTGCCTTTCCCAAGGACACAACGTCGGGCCCCCGAACCCGCAATCTCACGATTACGAGTCCGGTTGCCTAACTTGCGAAGTTAAACTTTACCTTTACCTGATCTCCAGCCTCACCTACAGTGGGAGTTCGGGGGACGGGGGACGGTGGCGGTTGGGGGGGGGGGGTAAACTTTACCTTTACCTAATCACCAGCGGCCTCACCTGCTTTGACTAAGTCCTCCACTCTTTGGGCAGCCTTGTTGATTTCCTCCAGACCTGCATTGTCTACAATTGAAGAGCTGGAAAGAAATGATGTTATTATCATATTGTGATTTTTTTTAAAAAGGTGTTATAGAATTTTCCATGAGGCCTATAACAAGAAAAGGGATCGCTCGTTATACTATGATGATGATGATGATGATGATGATGATGATGATGATGATGATGATGATGATGATGATGATGATGATGATGATGATGATGATGATGATGATGGTGGTGGTGGTGATGATGAGGATGATGATGATGATGATGATGATGATGATGATGATGATGATGATGACGATGATGATAACAACAACAACAACAACAATAGCAACAACAACAGCAACAACAACAATAATAATAATAATAATAATAATAATAATAATAATATTTTAATAATAATAATAATAACAATAAACAATTAAAGCCGCTAGGAGCACTATCAGTTTAAAGAAGACTGTGTAAACTTAAAAACCCAAATGCGTTAGAGCCAAGAATACGGAGATGTATCTTCAGAGCCAGAAATCTGAATTTCTACTTTTCCTTTGTATAAGCACTCCCTCCCCTCACGGAGAAGAAAGAAAGAAGAAGAAGAAGAAAAAAAGAGGCTTCAATTCGCCAGCATGGTACTACTGCTGCTCAGCAAAGCTAGTCACACCGACGGGAAAACGAGCACGGATAGGGTCGCTTTTAAGCACAAGGAGGCTTTCCTGAAAAACGCTGTTTTGAGAAAATCGAAGGTGAAGTTTTTTCCCCTTGTTCAGTTTCTAAAAGACAAGGAGAGTTTTCTCTATAACCAAACAAATATACACACTAAGGAACCCAAACTTCTCCTATAGGTAGGGCAAGCCCATTTTTTGGTGTAGGTCAAGATTTCTGGAAACCCCCGAAATCTGGGTAAGCCCGCTTGTCCTTAAAAGCGACCATACTCGTATGTACTGTCTACACAGTTTCCTCTCTACTCATTCTCCTATCGGCGAAGAAAGTTGTAATGAAAGATCCCGCTTCTTAAATGATCTTACAATGCTGAAAATACCATGCCATACCATACCATACCGTACCGTAGACCTCCCATACCATACCATACCGTTCCGTACCGTACTGTGCCACACCGCGCCAAACCACACCACGCAACGCTACGCCACACCACACCACGCCATGCCACGCCAAACCAAACCACAGGACACCACACTACACTCTACCTTACCCTACTTTACCCTACCCTGCCGTACCACACCACGACACAACACGACACATCACGCCATGCCACGCAACACCACGCCACGCGACTCCACAATACAATACCATTCCATATTGCCTGTGTCTTGTAAAATGTACTGACTCCTTTACCAATCACAGACAACAATACACAGAGATCAATCTGAGCGTAAGATTTTTGCCGTGCCCTATTGTATTGTGTACATGTATTCATTCCACTGACCGTGCCCTATTATATTGTGTACATGTATTGACTCCACTTACCGTGCCCTATTATATTGTGTACATGTATTGACTCCACTTACCGTGCCCTATTATATTGTGTACATGTATTGACTCCACTTACCGTGCCAAAAAGGTATGGGCCCCAAGAACTGACAGAGTCAACAGGCGAGATCCACGAATCGCCCATAGCGAAACCTTTGAAGTTCATTTGGATTTCGGATTTTTTGATTGCCTGAAAGAGATACGTAAAGACAGTATACACTATATAAAATGATTTTGTCGTCGGGTACTCCTACAATCTTGCAGGCAGACACCTTCTAAAACATCTCTCTCTCTCTCTCTCTCTCTCTCTCTCTCTCTCTCTCTCTCTCTCTCTCCTAACACACAAGGCAAGAGTGAAGGACAGACAGACAGACAGACAGACAGACAGACAGACAGACAGGCAGACAGACAGACAGACAGACAGACAGACAGACAGACAGGCAGACAGACAGACAGACAGACAGACCAGTGAAGGGGATTTACCTCGTTAAGAACATCGGAGAAGGCTGCAGTCATTTTTCCACCGTACGATTCGGAGAAAATGTAGAAAGGAATTTCCTGAAAATGCAAAGTCGTCAGATCTTAAAAATTTGCCTCAATTACACGTGAAAACTACACACGTAATATTGCCCGTAAACACTATGGACTTAATCGTTGTAACATGCAAGATACTGATAATAGATTTTTAAACAACCAATCACCGATCTAACAAAAACTTCCTGCCTCCCTTGTCCATTATTTCCTCCTTTTCTTCCTCCTCTTCCTCCTCCTCCTCCTCCTCCCCCCTCCTCCTCTACTCTCTTCTCCTCCTCCTCCTCCTCCTCCTCCTCTACTCTCTTCTCCTCCTCCACCCTCTCCTCATCCT